TGGAATCCCAACTTCGGTGGCAGTACACAAACTCAGCACTAATCCTTTGCGGAAGCCAGTAGCACAGAAGAGACGGCTTTTCGGGGGGGAAAGACTCACGGCCATTAAGGAAGAAGTTAAGAACCTCTTGCAAGCAGGGTTTATTAGGAGAGTAGATTACTGCGAATGGATCGCCAACCCTGTCATGGTAAAAAAGTCAAACGGGAAGTGGCGCATGTGCATCGATTATACCAACCTCAACGACGCCTGCCCTAAAGACTGTCATCCCATGCCGAGCATAGACAAACTGGTAGAGGCCGCCTTAGGGAATGAGAGGTTAAGCCTCTTGGATGCTTACTCGGGGTATCATCAAGTCCGCATGGCACCCGAGGACAAGGTGAAAACCTCATTTTATGTCGGAGATGAAATATACTGCTATGTGATGATGCGTTTGGGCTCAAGAATGCAGGGGCAACATACCAGAAAATGGTCACAATCGTGTTTCGGGCTCAAATTGGCAGGAACCTGGAGGTCTATGTAGATGACATTGTTGTCAAAAGTTCTCGAGCAGAAGACCACTTGACCGACCTGGCCGAGACGTTCAACAACCTTAGAAGGTGCAGCATGAAGTTGAATCCAGCAAAGTGCACTTTCGGCGTTGAATCAGGCAAGTTTCTGGGTTTTATGGTTTCCAGAAGGGGGATAGAGGTCAACCCTGAGAAGATAAAGGCAATAGAAGAAATGAGACCGCCGAGGTCAACCAAGGACGTGCAACGCCTGGCAGGGAGAGTAGCAGCACTGTATAGGTTTATCTCCAAATCAGCAGATAAGTGTTTGCCTTTCTTTAAGGTCTTGAGAACTGCAGCTCAGAAGGATGAAACGGGAAAACCCCAGAAGTTCAACTGGACGACGGAATGCCAGGTGGCTTTTGATGAGCTCAAAGCCTACCTCGGCTCGCTGCCTTTGCTGACCAAGGCTCAGGAAGGTGAAATCCTTTATCTCTACCTCGGAATATCTGATACTGCTGTCAGTTCTGTCTTGGTCAGGGAAGTGGGGAAACAACAGCAACCAGTATACTATGCCAGTAAGGTGTTGCAGGGGGCTGAGCAGAGGTACTCGATAGCAGAGAAGGCAGCCCTAA